GTTGCATGTTTTTAAGATTCTTTTTTTATTTATGATTAATTTTAGTTAAGTAGAAATAATATTTAATAATTACATGTAAAAAAATTATTAAAGAAAGTTTCACCTGGGTGTTACTCACGTCATTAATTATTGAAAAAATTAAATATATGAGTATAGACTATTGTTTGTGTGTTAGAATTAATAAATTTACTTATATAATATTAAAAGAGAATTTCAAGTTTATTATTGTGGTTGTAATGTTTTGAGTCACACGAGAGACGAACACAACCCAAGGAGAAGTGTGTAATGAGAGAAACTAAGGTTAAAAGTATAAAGGATAGACAATACCTTGTTGACAAGTTGCTGTGAGCAATGTGAAGTCAAAAATTTCTTACGATACAATTTGACCAAACGTTGAGTTTTAAAACTTATAATAAAATCAAAATTCCATATATGTTTGTTCGAAGGTCTTAAGAGGATTCAATTAATTATAAAGAAGCAGGAAACAGGCATTTGTTCTTCATAGAAGTTCCCTTAAAGAATGCTTAATGCTTCAGATGTTGTTACTTATGAGTGCCTTTATATATCTATCCAAAAACTCTCCAAAATATCCAGAAAATAATAAGTCAATTGAATAAAATGATTCGGTTGACCAATTTTAATTATATATTTCAGTTCGGTATAACAGATTGGTTATCAATTCTACGTGAGCAGAAGTTATTGTTAGCTGAATATTTTCTGTGAACTTTTTTCAGGGGCTCACACTTTTTTTTGGAAACGGCGTTAGTAGATCAAGTCATTTTGAAAAAGTACACGAGGATGACTGTAACGCAGTATAAAGATCTTCTCCAGCTACTTGGTCCTGCATTATTGAGCAAACCAACTCTAAAGGATATTATTAATCCATCTACAAAAATAGTGTTGACTTTACGGTAAACAATTTACTTAAAATTTTTTAAATATTCATTTATTTAAAATTTAGAATAATTGCATTTTTAGTTCATCGAAACTTTGAGCAATTGAATTTTAAATTGATTAAAATGTAAAATTATTAAAATTATTATTGATTGATAAATTTGAAGAAATGGAATACTTAATCTTCGAATGTTTAGAATACAAATAAAATTTCAATTCATTAAAGAACGGTGCTGAAAAATGACCAAAATTTGCCCATGCGGGAATTATGAAAAACGAGTAGTTTCCCATAGTTTAAACCCTGCTGAATCCGAAAATGATAATTAGAATCTTGCAAACCTGAGGGAAAGGGATGAAAAACTACCCCTAAATAAGCAATTCCAATAATTCACGACAATTAAAATGCAGTCAAGTAACATCTAAAAAATAAACCAAAATCGCTTAAAACTTGTTACTCGGGGGTTTTCTGGGTCGCTGATTACGAATATGATGTTAGTTTTTGAAAATTTAAAATGGCGGATCCAGTATGGCGGACGACTTTTTTAAAAAATCTTGAGAATCGCCTGAAACTTGTTACTCGGGGGTTTTCGAGATCGCTGATTACGAAAATGATGTTAGTTTTTGAAAATTCAAAATGGCGGATCCAATATGGCGGATAAAAATTTTAAAAATCCACACAATTTGCTTAAAACTTGTTACTCGGGGGTTTTCGGGGTCGCTGATTACGAATATGATGTTAGTTTTTGAAAATTCAAAATGGCGGATACATTATGGCGGACGAAAATTTTAAAAATCCACATAATTTGCTTAATACTTGTTACTCGGGGGTTTTCGGGGTCGTTGATTACGAATGTGATGTTATTTTTTGAAAATTCAAATTGGCGGATCCAGTATGGCAGACGACTTTTTTAAAAAATCATGAGAATTGCCTGAAACTTGTTACTCGGGGGTTTTCGGGGTCGCTGATTACGAATATGATGTTACTTTTTCAAAAATTGGAAATGGCGGTTCCGATACGGTTGGACAGTTTTCTATGAACCGTCGTATTCGCTTGAAACCACTAATATTTACTATTTGAATTGTTCTAGACATCACTTACTGTTTATTTATATGTATACCCAAGAAGCACGTAATATAACCTCAATATCAAGGTAATATTACACGTAAGATTCGTAATATAACGCTGTAATATTACAGTAATCTTACAGTGATCTTAAAATGTCCGCCTCAAGGTAATATTACCGGGAATATTACTGTAATATTAACGGTAATATTACAGTAACATTAACGGTAATATTACAATAATATTACAGACCACAGGTGTTTGGAAAGAAAAAAAAGTTTGCCTACGATGCCAAGAAAAATCATTGTTACCTGGTGGTTCCTTAGCCCCTTCTGAAACGAGAAAACTTAACCCGAAAATCGTAGCTGTCTATTTAGAGAAGTTTCGAAATTTTTTCAAAAAATTTGTTTTCTAAGGGTCAGAGATAAGTTTTAAATTATGTTAATGATTTTTATTTATGTGGGTGTGTTTGAAGGATCTGATTTTCTAGGTACAAGTGATTAAAAAAATTTTTAATAGAAAAGAACTCGAATTCGTAACTTTTCTTTTATGTAGGTGACGATTTTGGATGATTTAATTAGTAAATAAATAAATCGTGTTAATGAATTTATATCTATAGGGCGAAATTCCACCACGAAGTGTTGTTAGGTTTTCTCAAAAACTGCCTGTAGGAGACGGAAGGAGTTGGATTTTTTGAAAAATTTAATCAGTGAATTTTGATTTTTTTGAGAAGTTAAAAATGTGTATTTTTACTACAAAAAATATTGAGATATCCTTGTTTGTTATTTTCGAGATATTAATTATTTAATTATTTAACGTTAACAAAAGATAAAATATTTTATATACAAATAAAGTCATCGTAATTCTGACGTTACCAATTGAAAGCTACCGTAATTCCGCATCCAACGAGCCCTATATGAAGAATTTTGGGTTAGTGGATTGTTAATAAATAATCGCATAACAACATTGCAATTGTTGATAAAAATCCCTCTAATTCAAAATAGTTCATATTAGTCTCGTTGGATGCGGAATTACGTTAGCTTTCAATTGGTAACGCTAATTTACGATAACATTATTTGTTTATAAAATATTGCATTTTTTATTAACATTAAATAATTCATTAATTAATATCTCGAAAATAACAAAAAAGGACATTTCAATATTTTTTGTATTGAAAATACACATTTTTAACTTTCCAAAAAATTAAAATTCACTGTTAATTAAATTATTAAAAATCGTCACCTATATAAAATAAAAGTTACGAATTCTAGGTTTTTTAATAAAAAAAATATTAATGGCTTGTATCTAGAAAATGAGGTCCTACAAACACATTGACATAAATAAAAATCATTAACATAATTTAAAACTCATTTCTGACCCTTAAAAAACAATTTTTTTGGAAATATTTTAAAATCACCCCTTGAAAGAGGTGAAACTTCTCTAAATGAACAGCTATGATTTTTGGGTTAAGTTTTCTCGTTTCAGGGGGTGCTAAGGAACCACCAGGTAACAATGATTTTTCTTGGCATCGTAGGCAAACTTTTTTACTTTTCAGACACCTGTGAGACTAATTTGAGTTATTCATAAAGCATAAAAAACGTAAATATATTATAAGTCAATTTGGCTTGTTGGTAAAACTCTGGACTCGTGTGCTTTGAGTTCGGGGTTCGATTCCCTGGATGGGTAGATTTTTTTCGTAAAGAAATATTCCCATAATATTACTGTAATATTCTCTTACCTTAATATTACGGTATAATATTACTGCAATATTACTGTAATATTACCTTAATATTAGCGCGTAATATTACAGTAACATTACCGGTAATATTACCTTGAGGCGGACATTTTAAGATCACTGTAAGATTACTGTAATATTACAGCGTTATATTACGAATCTTACGTGTAATATTACCTTGATATTGAGGTTATATTACGTGCTTCTTGGGTATACGTATAAATAAACAGTAAGTGATGTCTAGAACAATTCAAATAGTAAATATTAGTGGTTTCAAGCGAATACGACGGTTCATAGAAAACTGTCCAACCGTATCGGAACCGCCATTTCCAATTTTTGAAAAAGTAACATCATATTCGTAATCAGCGACCCCGAAAACCCCCGAGTAACAAGTTTCAGGCAATTCTCATGATTTTTTAAAAAAGTCGTCTGCCATACTGGATCCGCCAATTTGAATTTTCAAAAAATAACATCACATTCGTAATCAACGACCCCGAAAACCCCCGAGTAACAAGTATTAAGCAAATTATGTGGATTTTTAAAATTTTCGTCCGCCATAATGTATCCGCCATTTTGAATTTTCAAAAACTAACATCATATTCGTAATCAGCGACCCCGAAAACCCCCGAGTAACAAGTTTTAAGCAAATTGTGTGGATTTTTAAAATTTTTATCCGCCATATTGGATCCGCCATTTTGAATTTTCAAAAACTAACATCATTTTCGTAATCAGCGATCTCGAAAACCCCCGAGTAACAAGTTTCAGGCGATTCTCAAGATTTTTTAAAAAAGTCGTCCGCCATACTGGATCCGCCATTTTGAATTTTCAAAAACTAACATCATATTCGTAATCAGCGACCCAGAAAACCCCCGAGTAACAAGTTTTAAGCGATTTTGGTTTATTTTTTAGATGTTACTTGACTGCATTTTAATTGTCGTGAATTATTGGAATTGCTTATTTAGGGGTAGTTTTTCATCCCTTTCCCTCAGGTTTGCAAGATTCTAATTATCATTTTCGGATTCAGCAGGGTTTAAACTATGGGAAACTACTCGTTTTTCATAATTCCCGCATGGGCAAATTTTGGTCATTTTTCAGCACCGTTCTTTGTAGTTTTCAATTCAAAATTTACTGAAGTTTTGATTCAGTTGTACAGAAAATTTTTTGTGACATTCACGCATCTATTTTTAAACTTTATGAAATTTTCCAAATTTAGCAAAGACTGACCATACAGATAAGTGTACACTGAAAAAAATTCGGTGTCGCTGCCTCACCTACGAATGTCGCTACCATACATTTCGGAGGGTATGTACTATCCCGATTTCGGAAGGGAGATTAGGTCGCAAGGGAACACTACCTCACCGCGAGAGAAGGTTACAACACTGGTTTTTCGTCCAGTCAACGATTCCGAATTGAGAGAACATATAGCGCGTCACAGCTAGCACGCGCAGTGAACTAAAATCTCGGCGTGCTCAAATCTTTACGTATGTGCACGTGTTTCTCGTGTTCGTCTTATAATAATAATTCTAATATTTATATCAGATACAGTTCTGTGTCTACTAAACATTTACTGGATTTTAATATTTTTCGTAAGTAATTAAAATATTTACTCATTTAACTAAAAATGTTTATGCTTTGAACTTCTGAAAAGGTCATACATAACCTCAAAATGTCATCATATGTTTATATTGTTTGAAATTCTTTTTTTATAATTCTGGTTTTCATTTGTAAAATTCTAATAATAAAAATCGATAGATAAAATATAAATACTAAGAAGTATAGAAGAAATGGAAGTGGAAACATGCAATGCTCCAAATGAGAATAGTGAGAATTCCAATAATAAGAAGAGTAATTCTACGACGTCGGATGAAATTAATCCTGCTATAACAAGTAAAAATATAGAACAAAATTTTTTCAAATATATTCATAGCTTTGAAAAATTTATTTTTTATTAAAACAATAACTTTTATATCTAAATTACGAATGTGTAATGGACAGTTTGTTTTTATATTTATTAATAAACTTCCTATCTTGAAATTTATTTGTCGCGTTTCGATTTGTTTTAATTCTCAGGAATGTTATTATATTTCAGATTTAGTATATGTGCAAAGTGATTTGTATGACTTTTTAAATGATAAAGAGAACTTGGTTGGAAATATAATACTGGCGAAAAATGCCAAATTAGGAGTTTTAGATAATGACAAATTAAAGAAATTAATTATTGTTCACGAATTAAAACGCGACCCGATACATTATAAGTATTTTTTTTTTTTTATGTATTTATAAAATGAAATTCGTAATCCAAATCGCAGAATAACGAGAGACTGCTTTATGAAGCTGAGAACAGAAATTAAACCGCTGTTCCCAACATGCGACGGAGAATTGTTTTATGTACCTCACTGTAATGATGGTAGAGAATATACAGGTACAAGAGGTTGTCTGTATAATTATTATAAGTACATGAGAGAGGAACTGCGTTCAGGTGGCATATTAGGCGTGAATAAAAACAAAATTGATAAAACCATTCAAGGTACATTGATTCATTATTTACAACTAATGTAAATATAAATAAATTTTTAATTTTATTTTTTTCGATCATTAAAGTAACTGTTGAAGACGATACTTGCCTCATTGATCAAAATCGTGGCGAATATGAGGCAGGCAATGTATTCCGAATGTGGGAGAAAAAGTACTCTGAACGAACAGTCAAATTTTTGAAAAACAAAAAAATCGACAAAAAGAATCTTTTGACAGTTTATTTCACAGCTTATCCTTGCTTGAAAAGTCCTCTCGGAGTTCTTTTGGTAAAATATCAAAATTTTATTTACTTTTCATTACTTATTTTAATAAATTTTAATTTAAAAAAGGGCAGTTACTAATTTAATTAATATTTTAAATCAACATTATCCTGTCGTAGTTGGAAGCAGATTTCAATAATGTTCTCGCGGAGTTTGTAAATAAAGGAGAAGCAAGTGTTGCCCTTTCCAGTTCATTCAAAACCATATTGTCTAACAATTGGCCCACGCTTAGTACGAAAATTATTCAACATTATAGTACATCCAGGGTCAAACAGATTAAAGACTTTTATTTAAAGTACGATGAATTAATAAAAGCAGGTACAATAGTGGAAGATGATGACATATTTTATGTATACGCTTATCAGATGTATACTAATAAATTTGCTAAATCGTTTTCTAATTGTAATACTTTTTTAAAGGAACGCAAAACAGTCTTTTGGCACTTCTGTTACTGCCGTTAGGTTTGGCTGTTAAGAAGTCATTGAAAAAAGATGACCAAATCAAACTTTTTTCTAAATCAGATGTACAAAGATCGTTTTTGCTGGTAGTAGAGGTAAGAAGTGCATTTAAAGAAATACCTCATTTTTTTAAGGAAAGAGACTGGTGAAACTTCAACCCTTTGATATTTAAGTTGTTGAGAGGCGCCAATTTTTTTCTGGTATTATTCAGAATTTAAATTTATTTTAATTTAAAGAAATTACAAAAAAATTGTTTGATCATTTTCAAAGTTTTATTTTTTGAAAATCTATACAATTGATTTTTAGAATCATGAAATAAGTTTAGAAAGAAATTGGCAATGAAAATTAATAAAAAATAAGAGAGTAATTAAAATTTCTATTTTTTGAAAATTTTGATTTTTATTAAAGAAATTATGAACTAATTAATTTTTCTCCAAATTTTTAGAAACATTTTATATTTTAAAATATTCAAATTTATCAGAAAAAAATTGACCACCCATATACAACAAAAATTTAGATGGGTTAAAATTTTACCGATCCCTCCTCTTAATTGGAGATATATTTAAAAAAAATTTTATTATATAGGATCCAGTAAATCTTTCTACAGAGCGATCAAATCAAGAAGACTGGTTGAAAAGTAACGATCTGACATCCATCCTTTTGTTATTTTATGCGGAGAAATCAGTTCCATAACTGAATCCATGGTTATTTTGAATGGTGTCAGATATTTGTTTGATAACCCACTCAAAGCTGTGGAAGCATGTTTTAAGTGCTTGATATCACTTCGGTCAATGCCTTTTATATGTGATTTCTTATGGACATTTCTCGGGAAATTAGTGTACTGCATAACTGCATTTAAGGCCTTCGCAGCAGTAAATAAGTTAATTGTTGATCTCAATAATTATTAACAGTCAGTTAAAGTTGGAACTATCTTACGCATTGTAAATGAAAGCTTTTTAAATGTGTTATCAGTTTTAAACGGAATGTATATAATATGTGCTTAATTAAAGTTGAAAATAGTTTTAAATAACTATAAATAAAAAATTAAAATTTTCCTGTCAGAATCTTATTATTAAAAAATGGATCTAAAAAAATTGTAAATCATCTTCTTATGTTTATTTTGTCACTCTATGGTAATCCTAATTATCCAAGAAATTTAGTTCAAGAAGTCATTGATGAAATGGAAAAATTTATTAAAACGACTTTTTTAACGTCCATGCAAGATGATATTTTTCAAATTTTATCTAAAGAAAATGTTCCCGACAATGTAAAGCGTAATATTCAAAGATGTTTTAACGAACACAGCAGTATTTTTGTCAAAGTAAAAACCGAACAGTTAAGATTTAAACTACTTCGAAATATTGGTTTTATTGATCATCAGATGTTTGAGATTGGTACTGCTTTTATCCCGCAATTTGTAAATAACAAATTACGGTTTTTAACTGAGAAATTGTATGCGGTGCATGTTCCTTTAAGAGAAACCCTTAAAGTTTTTTTTAGAAATTCCGGGATTATTCAATCAAATGTTAGATCACATAAGTAAATTGCAAAAAGAAAAGAACATAATACAAATATAATGCAGGGCAATTTTTGGAAAAAAAAATTTCTCAAAATTCTGAAGAAATTGTATTACCGTTAAATATTTTTTATGACGATTTAGAGGCTGGAAATTCATTAGGAAGTCATGCTGGAGTAGATAAATTTGGAGTAGTTTATGCCCAAATAGCATGTCTTCCAGTGCATATTGCTTCCCGACTTGTAAGTATCCTTTTTTCAACTTTAATAATGGTTAATAATAAAAAACACTGCACCAACCAAAGCTGCTTTCGAAAAATCATAGACGAAATTAATTATTTACAAACAGTAGGGAACGAGATTATAATAGATGGTATTCCAAGAAAAATAAAATTTCAAATAGCTTTAATTATAGGGGATAATTTGGGTTTAATGAATCATTTATTTCGAAAAGTTGGTGTAGAATTTGTAAAGCAACTGCGGAACTTGCTGCGAAATTATTAGGAGAAGATGAATCATTGTTGAGAAATAGGGAAAATTATGAAAAAGATCTTAAACAAGGGGACCCGTCAGAAAGTGGTATAAAGGAAGAATGCGCTTTTCATAAAATGTTTAATTTTCATCTCACCGAAAATTTGTGTGTCGATTTTATGCACGATGTATTAGAAGGGGTTTGTGTTTATGATATGTCAGCAATAGTGTCTGTATTGATTTATAAAAGGGAATATTTCACGTTAGAAGAATTAAACAGTTTAATTGACAACTTTCCTTTTAACGACAATGCAAATAAACCTCCAGCAATTTCTCGCAATAGATCAAACAATCAAGCACTTCTAAAAATGTCAGCGTCAGAAATGCTTTCTTTTGTACGTTTCTTTGGTCATATGGTGGGTCATTTAATTATCGACAAAGAGGATGAATACTGGAAGTTGTATAAATACCTTCGACAAATCATAGATATTCTTAGTTCACCGCGAATAATCCCTTCTGATGCGAAGCAATTAAAAATTCTTATCAAACTTCATCATGAATTGTATATTCGTCTTTGTGGACCTTTGAAACCAAAGTTTTATATCTTATCACACTATCCGCGAATTTTACTTGAAAATGGCCCTTTTACTAACTTTTGGTGCATGAGGTTCGAGTCTCGTCATCGAGATTTAAAAACAAACTGGAAATCAACAAGTTGCAAGAAAAACGCTTTGGTTACAGTTGCTACAAAACAAATGTTACAATTCTGTGAAATGATTAACACCTTCGATTGTAAAACAACTTTTGTACTAGGCTCTCGAATGAGTGATGACATATCTGAAGAATGTTATAAAGAAGTAAATATTTGTGGAACACTATACAAACTTGGAACATTTGTTGTAACTAATATAGAAAATAGTGAGAAAGAATTCGGTAAAATTGTTAAAATTGACAGCAATATTTTTTTCTAAATTGAAGTTTTCGAAGAAATAACATTCGATGAGCACTATCACTGCACTCCTATATCATTAATCCAAAAAGTATTACGTGTCAAATGTTTAATCGAATTGATTTGCCAAACATCGCGCCTTGTACTTATGTAGTGAGAGAAGACATTCATTTCATTGGCACAGACTATGGACTGTAATCTCTATAGAAATTACAGAAATTACTTTGAAAACTGTGTATTTAATATAGTATTTGTATGTACGTTTATTTAAATTCAATGTTTAATTTTGTACTTCAATAATAAACAAAATTCTAGAATATAAACTCTTTTATTTTCTATGAGTATTATTTCTAAATGTATTGAAAATAAATTAGGCTCTAAATCCGAGTTTAAAAATACAGAAATTAAATTTTTTTAAAAATGTATTTATTTTACACAAGTTTATAATAATAAATAAAATATAAAGTTAAATAAGTTAAAACTATCTCGATCACTGAGCGCTATGATAATTAATATATTCTTCGCTTTTACTTTACTCCGCGCGCTTGGAAATTCCAATATGTTATTCCTGCGAAGTTGCACCAATCTCGAGATATCGGTATGATAGCTTCCCGCCTGTTCGGGAAGGCTACCTGCTCTCGAGATTCGTTGACGCACCCGAAAACCGATGGACAGAGCACTCGAAGCAAGAGTACGCAGCGCCATCACCACACAGGCGACAGCCACACCGAATTTTTTTCAGTGTAGTAGTGTCAGGGTGGTAATTTTTCATGCTGACGTCCAGAGATACTGTATTATTTCATCGTCTATTCTTGATAGACATTGTTACATTAATATATTGATTTATTCTTATATATTTTAATATTGTCTATTCTCTTTCATTCGTTACATAGGTATATCGCTTACCTATATTAATTTCAGATTTCTTGCTACAGGGGAGTCCTTGTCTTCGCTTCATATGCAATATAGAATGGGTCTGTCGACTGTATTGAAATGCTGTTACAGAACGATGAAAGTTTTGTATGATAAATTGCAGCCAATTGTAATGCGGATGCAAGAATCTCCCGCAGAATGGAAAGAAATTTCTGACGAATTTGAAAGGGAGTGGCAATTTCCTCATGTTTGGGGAGCGATGGACGGAAAACATGTCGTTATGCAGGCAAGTATTTTTCAACTCCGACTATCCTAATACGAATTCACAATATTCTCCCATTCAGGAGAATTTTACTTTTATTTGAACATAAAAATGTATTTAAAATATCTAATCATTCTTGACATTCTTTAAATCATCTTGATTTAAATTCAATACACTTTTTCAACTAAAAAAATAATTATATCGATCCTTTCGAGCAAATCTTGTGTATGTCCTTTTTTATACATAAAGAACAAAAAAACACTGAACACGTAAATTGAAAAAGGCAAAAGTTTTTATTTTTTGTATTTTTCAATAAATACAAATACACGAGATCGCGTGTCGTGTCTTTTGTCCGTCTCCAGTGTTCAAATTGTAATTTAAATATTTTCAACTTTGACGATTATGATTTAAAATTTGACTAGTTGCAATGTGATGTAAAAAAAATTATTTAATCAATATTCAGCCTGATGAAGATGGTAAACCGCGCCATCGAAACGTCGCAACTTTAAATATTTACTTAAATATGTGTTTTCTTTACCTTTCATTGATCGAGTTTACTTCTCACAAGTAAATAATTGGAAGGGAATTTTCAATCTATCTAAATAATCGATATAAGTATTTTCTTTATTATATGTAATCGCTTATTCTAACATTAATTATTAATTTTTTCAACATGTAGGCTCAACTGAACAGCGGTTCCTCTTTCTTCAATTACAAAGGAAGACACAGCATAATTTTATTGGCGGTTTGCGACGCACAATATAAATTTATCGCCGTAGACGTTGGAGCAAGAGGCATAGAGAGTGATGGTGGAGTTCTAGGAAAAAGAATCGGTGCTAAAAGTCTCAATCTACCGCCTCCATCAGAAATTTGTCATGGAGGTCCAATTTTGCCATTCTTCTGTCTGGCAGACGCAGCTTTTCACCTTCATGAAAACATAATGCGTTCTTATCCAGGACGCTCCACTGGTATAATGCCATTAGGCCAGCAGATTTTTAATTACAGTAGAGGAAGTAGAGGAAGACGAACAATTGAAAATGCGTATGGAATTATGTGCTCGCAGTGGAGAATTTTTCGATTGACAATCCATGCCACCACAGAACATATAAAATTGATTGTCTTACCGGCTGTTGTGCTACACAATTATCTTCGGAAAAAAGAAGAGGACTGTCCGGAGGATCATGCAAGGAATTATTGCCCCATTAACTTCTGTGACCGAATTAATGAGAATGGAATAGAAGTTGCAGAGAGTGGAGACGCGACATCCAAATGGATGCACTTGTTCCCCTTCCTCGTGTGAACACGCAAAATCTTAGTGCTCTTAACATTCAAAGAAGCCTAATGAATTATTTTTTAAATGAAGGTAGTGTGCCTTGGCAGATGGAGAGAGTAAACGCAGTGGTATACTAATGAAATTAGTATACAATGTTTCTTATTGTTTTTAAGTCAGTTTCAAGTACTGTTATTTTGTAAATGTGAGTAAATTAATAGAAATTAAAAAAAAAATTTTGTTAGTTATCTATGATATATTCTATATATTCCAACATTAATTAAATATCAAAATATAACTTCGTTGTTTATTTGAATTTAAAATTTAACTTATTGCGAGGCAAAAGACGTGTCATCGCACAAACAACTCACGTTTTTGTAAATGGTTGGCTCAAAAATGTGCAATATGCATTGTGATATTAACGTTAACGATAAACCACGTAATCAGATTTTCGAAAAAATCAACGTAACAAAACAACATGTAGACTACTTTCTTCTCAGACTGAATTTTGACAACACTAAATATTTTCAGTTAAATTCAGTGTAAGATTTGAATTTAAGCGATAACACAGGCACACAAAAAAAAGTTGTCTGTTTCTTGAACTAGACATATATTTCCTAGAGTATTTTGACCCGCTGAAACCGAATCTGAGGTCAGAATTGCTCCATCACCTTCAGTTTTTTTTAAATCGACCAAAACCACCCTTAAATGGACAAATTCACACTTCGGAGATAAAAAATAAATCAACTTATTTTTTTAAAAAATCGAATTTTACATCTACGAAACTTTGCTCCACTAACTCAAAAACAAAGCCAGCATTGATCCAGCACCCCCTGAATTTTTTTAATTGAAAAAACTACCCCTAATCTGCAGAATCAAATTCAGGAAATAAAACAATAAAATAACAGATTGACAAATTTTATATGCAGATATTTTTAATCCAGCAATGCAGAAACAAAGCCAGAAATGCTCCCTTACCCACTAAATTTTTTTTTTAATCGAAAAACCACCCTTAAATAGAAAAATTCAAGTTTAATAAGTAAAAAATATTAAATTACCGGTTTTTTTGGAAAACAGAATCTTACATGTATGTAGTTTTGCTCTTCTAACTCAAAAAAATAATGCCACCATTGATCCATCACCCTCTGATTTTTTTTAATCAAAAAAACTACCCTTAACCTGAAGAATCAAACTTAGGAGGTAACACAATATAATTATATTAAATTACCTTCTAAGTTTGATTCTTTGGTGGTTTTTTCGATTTAAAAAAATTTTAGAGGGTGCGGGAGCATTTCTGGCTTTTTTCCGCATTGCTAGAGTAAAAATACCTGGTTATAAACTTTTTTAATCAGTTATTTTATTGTTTTACCTCCTTAATTTGATTCTTTAGATTAAGGGTAGTTTTTTCGATTTAAAAAAATTCAGAGGGTGGTGGATCAATGCTGGCTTTATTTTTTTGAGTTAGTAGAGCAAAACTACATACATGTAAGGTTCTGTTTTGAAAAAAAGCCGGTAACTTAATATTTTTTTACTTCCTAAATTTGAATTTTTCTATTTAAGCGTGGTTTTTCGATTAAAAAAAAATTTAGTGGGTAAGGGAGCATTTTTGTCTTTGTTTCTGCATTGCTGGAGTAAAAATATCTGGTTATAAAATTTGTCAATCAGTTATTTTATTGTTTTATCTCCTGAATTTGATTCTGCAGATTAGGGGTAGTTTTTTCAATTAAAAAAATTCAGGGGGTGCTGGATCAATGCTGGCTTTGTTTTAGAGTGAGTGGAGCAAGGTTTCTTAGATGTAAAATTCGATTTTTTAAAAAAATAAGTTGATTTATTTTTTATCTCCGAAGTGTGAATTTGTTCATTTAAGGGTGGTTTTGGTCGATTTAAAAAAAACTGAGGGTGATGGAGCAATTCTGAGCACAGATTCGGTTTCAGCGGGCCAAAATACTATAGGAAATATATGTCTAGTTCAAGAAACAGACAACTTTTTTTTTTGTGTGCCTGCAGGCACTAAACTCAGAATTACACATGTGTAATTCTGAGTTTAGATTCGGAATCATTATGAGAATACAAATGAAAATCTATTAGTGGTGCGTATCAGCCGAAAAACTGTTCTTTTTTTGTTCCTGTGTACTTTATGCCAAGTACATAAAACAATTACATAAAACAAATTAAATGTTTATTAAAAGTTTATAACTACTACTTTATATATATAAACTACATGAATACGCGAGAGTGAAAAACTTTTAAATTAATTATCCTTAATATGATACTTAATAATTTTATCACATTTTATACTTTCTTAATTAGTATATCCTATGGCAAAAGTCTTCTATTGTCAGTCATTTTCGTCTTAAAATGTACTCTTTAAATATGAAGCGAAAAACAAAAATATTAAGAATAATAAATTAAATATAAAACAATGAGCGATATTGAATACACTTAATATTTGACAAAAATTGAGCATGACGGATCAAGGAATTGTAGCAAATAGCACCATACCATCACATCTGCTTAGGAAATGTGTTCGCGACGCTTCTGTGCAATGTATTGAGTGATATAACCCTGTATTTCTAGCCTGTCGTTCTTATTTGGAAATTCGTTTATTTCTTTGTCTAACCATGACGCCCACTGTTCCATTGGATCTTTTTGCTCTCTAGTGTTCTTCTGTGCGGTTTTAGAACTTGCGAGTTCTAAAATGGCATTTTCAAGTTTATCGGGATCATCTGATTTTCGTTTTGTACCTAAAAATAATACATTTGTACATACAATATAATATAAGTGGTTGACAAATTAATAAAAAAGGTGATAAAATTTGAAAAAGAGGGAAAAAAAGTCTAATTGTTACAGTTTCCTATCTTTATATAAAATTAGTAAACATAAATTAAGAAAGCTTTGATAAATACCTCAACATCTGCGGGAACCTCTTCACAAGAAAAATATTCTTGTGATGAATCGTTTAAATCCTCCACGTATTTTCTTTTTGGGATTGAAGGCACATTGGAAGATGTACTGTAATACATAAATAAAATATTTTTTATAAAATCATGAAGTATTTAATACATCATCATCAGTTGATATACGTACGCTCTAGAATCAACACATTTAGTGTCATTTAGAAAACTTAAATATGGTTCTAGATCCTATGGTTTATGGCTATGAGAACCTGAACCACTTGGCAAGTATGTATTTTGTCTCCTCGTTAAGGACGTTTTTAAATTTGAAAAGCGTATCTTTGTTAGCTCGCCAGTTCAACCTGCACAAAAAGTTGCGATTACGTGCATTGTAACAAATTAACTGTTAATTGAAAAGTGCTAATATTCTGCGATTATCTGACATGTTGATATTACCTGCAAAATATTTGAAAATTCTATGCCACTCCTCAGTAACCTTCGACACACTTTTTCCTTTAAAGGTATTCTGTAGTCCCATAATATTGGAGTTTCTCGCACCCTTTCAATCAAATTGACAAGATTGCTGATAGACTGTGTAACAATCCCCTTTTCATCCACATCAATGGCCATTACATGGACATTCTCTTGTTCATAATTCTGTAATTAAAGAAATTAATTGAAAAATTATAATTCCATAATTTGAATTTCAGATTATTAAATATGGTATTCAATTATGAAAAAATATTAAAATATAAATGAAGACCTCCACGGAAAAAAATCTATGGAACAATTGAAAAATTTAACAGGAACTATAAAAAAAGTAATTACATGTAAATTAATTTTACGAATAAAATCAGTATTATTTACTAATTATAATGTATAGATCAATTCACATATAGTTATTACCAATTTCATGAAAATCTATGTTTTTCATGCCATCTGTCAAATTTTTCAATTGTTCCATTGATCGTTTTTCTATGGAGGTCTTCAAATATTGGCGGAAGTGCTATTGATTCAATAGCATATTTCTCTCAGTGTCAGTAACTGAAAAAATAAATTAAATACAATAAAGGTATTCTCACTTTATCAAAATTTAGTACATTGCCCTCAAGTGACAATTATACATCTTTGGCCCCTGCAAAGCATATTTTATTATTACATATTATGATTTTTCTTACTTCATCGTACTCCACTTCTGCCATTTTCTTTCACTTTTTCTGATAAACTATAAACAAAGTAAAGTAAATTATTATGTATGATATTTGGACACATTATGAAATATTATTATTAATTTTCTTCAATACTTTAACAATAATCCAATGTGGAACAAATGTTCAACAAATTCGTCGCACATTCGCTAGGTTCAATTCACCAGAGTAATTAGAAAAAGGAAAATTATTATTTATATAGTTAATAGTTCATTTTAACTTTAACAATTTATTAATATTATAAACTTCAATTGCAAAATATACAAAATTAGAAGCAATTAGAAAACGAGGATAATGCGAATGCAATCACGCGGATGATCAAGTTTTTGAATGAAATGAGCTTGGATAACTACAGCTCTTATTTCCAAACTGATTGAAAAAAAATAATAATAATTACTTACTTGCCAAAAGAACGATGAGCACAAATTATTACGAGCAAGAAATTGAGAAAGAAGCACGTGTCGAGTTGACCAGCAACAACCAACCTGAACAACCAAACACTTTTTGAGGTTAGAATCCCTCATTAAACACGTTGCACACAGTGCACAAAAATTACATTTCTTTTAACACATTCACTCATATTTCACTTAAAAAAATTAATATTCCAGTAAATTTACTATTTTTATTTGTTTTTATTAATAATTTGCATTCAAGAAAAGATACTTATTTTTAGTTAAATTCAAATTTTCAAAAATCGAGGCGGGAATGATCTGCTGCCTGCGCAGGCAGCTGGCGAAAAGAGGTGTGCAAGTACAGTAGACTCTCACAAACTGTCACTCCCGCAAATTGTCCACATTCAGAAACTGTCTCTGACCGACATGACATTCAGAAACTGTCCCGTTGCCCACTTTTCGTTTTCCCTTTCCTTGGCTAAAAGTGCGAGCTGCCAGAGCCGAAACGGAGTAAAAATTCAAGGGGGATCTCTGTCTTAGAAAATTTTATTTAAAACTTATATATTTAATATACATATATTAATAATATTAATATAAATATTAAAATATTATTTATTTCATGTAAATTTATAATACCTAATAATATTTAATTTATTTAACATTTTTAATTTGAATGATATATAATTTTTTTTAAACATTAAAGAGGTTCAACCCATTAACACAACGTCAAACTAAAAAATTGTTAACAGAACTAAAATTTTATTTTTCTTAACTCTTGAACAAAATATTTTTAATAAAATTCAACGTACAGAATTGTAAAAAATCTTTTAAAGGGTCAAATTAGCTATTGTTTGTAAGAATTCAATAAAAATTATATGTCATTGTTCACCTACTTTAAACAATAAATATAAAAAGTCAAATAATTATTATATAACAACAAATTTTTGGGCAAAATAATGTATTTTGAAAATTCTACAACTGAATTTTTAAAAATTTGTTACAATTATTTTATTTATAGTTTTATGTATATTGTATATTTACCTATGTTTCGAAACATTTTATTAGAACCTTTGTATCTATAGAACGCAAATAGACAAGATACGATCCTGCAATTCCCACTACCTACTCTTGTAGGCGTGGCATAACGGAAGGGACAGTTACTGAATGTCGAAAATTTCGCTTGGGACAGTTTGTGAGAGTCTACTGCACCTTAAGAAAGAAAATTATTAATCATAAATGGTATTTAAAATTATGGTTAAAGCAAAATTCAGAGATCTCTAAAACTTCCCGAGTAAATACTTTTAAGCGAATATAATACATTTTTTAAGAAGTCAACCATATTGAATTCGCCGTTTTCAACTTTAAAAGACTGGTATTAAATTTGAATTCAGCGACAGCTAAACATTTATAAAATTGTAGTTTCCATAAGGTCTTAGCTCAATTTACAAAACTTTTAACCGTAATATTGGATCCGTCTGTTTGAATTTTTAAAAATTGATATCAAATTCATAATCAGCAGAATTGAAAAATATAGAGTAACGATTTTAATCTGATGAAGTTTTAAAAACTTCAGATCAGTTTAAAAAAAATCCTCCACACTGTATTCGCTTTTTCAAATTTTCAAGAAACTAACATTGAATTTTTAATTTGCGACCACGAAAACTCACAAGTATTAAATTTCGTGACCTTTCATATCTTTTTTGAATTTGTTATATTTTATCAGCAATTTTCAAGGCACCATTTTGAATTTTGAAAAAAATATTTTTCTTTATAATGCCACTATCTGAAAGTTCTAACATTTTGGATGCAATATTTTGTGATTCCAAATTTATTTTTTTTAACATGGACGCGATTCGAAAATATAGTTTAAATAAAAAAATTAAAAGTTCATTTTTTTATTCAATTATAATTTTCCTCGAGGTCAAAATTTAAATTTTCTTGTATATTTTGAATATTTTTGAGAACTAAAAGCGCATATTAAAAGTAATTTTTCTGAATCTTTTTCAGTTACACTAGAATTTTTCAATGGTCTAGAGATCTTATTAAAATTTGCTAAAATAGTTGTATCATAGGTATAGGTGTAAATTTTATAAGTTTCATGTCAAGTCAATGTATAAAATATATATTTTTCTTAATTAGAAGCTTTTCGATCACATCACGTTGATCATCTTCAGTAACACTAAAATATTAAACAATCGCATAGTTGTTATTATTATGAATTTAAAAATTATTCCTGCAATATTGCATTACAAACTTACAAAAGATATGGAAAATATTGCACGATGGTGACATTATTTTATATAAAAATTAGAGAAAAATAATAAAAGTGTCAAGCATACACACACAGCAGACGTCACTAAAGGAGTTTTAGTGTTACTGAAGATGATCAACGTGATGTGATCGAAAAGCTTCTAATTAAGAAAAATATGGGTCATTCCATGTGAAAAGGCAAATGGATTTGTCCACTCGTGGTTTAAAGCAATCGCAAAGTCTTAGGGCTTAAAATTTAGCATTTTTTATGTAGAATCGAATACCGAGTGGCTGATTTTAAAATTTTTAAAATGGCGGCCACCACAGGCTGGAATGTGACGTAAAAAAAGCTTTTTTTTTATTTAAATTGGAAAAACTTTTACATTTTCAGACCAAAATTATTCAAAACAACTACTTTTCATATTTGTGAGTTGACAGAACACAAACATATGGTCAGAACTAAAAAATCCAAAATGGCGGAACCAAGATGGCGGATGAATTTTTGAAAATACAATAAATTCAACTGAATTCAGTTGAATGGTGTTACTCGGGGGTTTTCGGGGTCGCTGATTACAAATCTGATGTCAGAATTAAAAAATTCAAAATGGCGGATCCAATATGGCGGCCGAAATATAAAAAAAATGAGTCAATTCGCTTGAAACGTGTTACTCGGGGGTTCTCGGGGTCGCTGATTACGAATCTGAAATCCATTTTTGAAAATTCAAAATGGCGGATCCAATATGGTGTACGAAAAAATTAAAAATCACTTGAATTGAAACGAAATTCGTTACTCAGGGGTTTTCGGGGTCGCTGATTACGAATCTGAAGTCAGAATTAAAAAATTCAAAATGGCGGACCTAATAGGGCGTATGATTAATAAAAAAAACCATTAGAAATGTTTAAAACTTGTTACTCTGGAGATTTTTAAGTTGTAGATCACGAATTTGTCAGCGGAGATTAAATATGAAAAATATTAATTAAAAAAAGCGCTGAATACCAATCAAAGGTCGGAATTAAATAATTTTAAAATATCGGATCCTATATGGCGGAAGATTTTTTCAAAAAATGGCTAAGGACTTTGGCTTAATACTATATTTATCAAAAGAAAAGTCCTGAAAAGGACTGATTAACATTGGTTTTAATGCTATTTCTCATAATAAAAGTCCTAAAAAGGAATGATTGAAATTGGTTTTAATGCTATTTATCAAAATAAAAGCCCTGAAAAGGACTGATTGAAATTAGTTTTAATGCTATTTATCAAGATAAAAGTCCTGAAAAGGACAGATTGAAATTGGTTTTAATGCTATTTATCAAAATAAAAGTCCTGAAAAGGACTGATTGAAATTAGTTTTAATGTTATTTGGCAAAAGTAAAGTCCTGAAAAGGACAGATTAAAATTGGTTTTAATGCTATTTATCAAAAGAAAAGTCCTGAAAAGGACTGATTAACATTGGTTTTAATGCTATTTCTCATAATAAAAGTCCTAAAAAGGAATGATTGAAATTGGTTTTAATGCTATTTATCAAAATAAAAGCCCTGAAAAGGACTGATTGAAATTAGTTTTAATGCTATTTATCAAGATAAAAGTCCTGAAAAGGACAGATTGAAATTGGTTTTAATGCTATTTATCAAAATAAAAGTCCTGAAAAGGACTGATTGAAATTAGTTTTAATGTTATTTGGCAAAAGTAAAGTCCTGAAAAGGACAGATTAAAATTGGTTTTAATGCTATTTATCAAAATAAAAGTCCTGAAAAGGACTGATTGAAATTAGTTTTAATGGTATTTGGCAAAAGTAAAGTCCTGAAAAGGACTGATTTAAATTGGTTTTAATGCTATTTATCAAAATAAAAGTCCTAAAAAGGACTGATTGAAATT